GAAATAAGCAAGTGCAAATACAAAAGTTAAAGACAATTCAATTAAAAAGAAACTAAAACAAAAAGTAATCTAAAGCTTGGTGGTTTTTTCGTGGCTTTTAGCCTTAAATACAAAGAGGATTAGGTTTAGGGTCAAAGGAAAGTCAAGGGGGAAGCAACATTTTTCGGGTTTGACTGTTGACTTCTCAGCTCGATCGAGTTGAAGCTTGGCCGGTCGAGTTGAGGAACTCGACCGGTTGGTCGAGTAGGTGGTCGAGCTGGTCTTCAAGATGGCTTCCTCCTTCTTCCTTTGCGTATCCAGTTGAGCTGCGTCCATGTGCCAAGTCCTCCATGCTCCTCTCGTCCCATATGCTCCAGAATGCTCCAAAAGACCTATTTCAAAGGACCAAACATGCATATGTATGCAAATGCAACCTAAAACTACTATGAATGCATAAGAAGAGAAAAGGAACAAGATATGATGCTAATGGATGCTAAAACTATGCAAAAGATGCATAAAAGATGTACTAAAACTATGCAAAATGCAAGTACATCAACACCCCCAAACTTGACCTTTGCTTGCCCTCAAGCAAACAAATAGAACAAGAAAGAGATGAGGTTTGAAAACAGTTGATTCAACACTTAAAAACATGTCCTCAAAAGCGATTTGCTAAATGTCCAACTTAGAGATTCTAGAATGCAACAAGGTGAGAGATATTCATTAAGATTTAACCATGCTTATCAACATCAATCCCACTTCACAGTCACTCAAACAATGCATTCAAATCAGCAAATCCCTTTAACATTCATTAAGCAAAAACAGTGAACCAAAAACATGCAAGATCAATCAACTCATTTGGTTTCAAGGGTTTATGGGTTAAGAGACAAAGAGGGTCTCTTTTGTATGGTGGTTTAGTTAACAGGGATCTCTCAAGAAAGTGGCTTTGCTTTGGCAGAAGGCTAAGTGTTAGAACCAAAGATGATGCAAGAACAGCAGCTCGAGCCGTCTAATCCTAACTCGATCGAGTTCAACACTTAGAGCTTTTTAGAACAAAATCCTAACTACCCTTTTTGGCATTTCGCCTTTGAAACTGAGGAGCTTTGCTCACTTTTCTTTTAAGAACATCCTAGGGAGAGGCTTCTTGAGGTAACATCTAGCGGTTTGGGATTTTCTAAACACTTAGGGAACTTTTCTTTCTTTTTGACACTTGAGGCTTTGCCTTCTTTTCTTTCTACTTAGAACCCTTTTTACTTCCTTTTTTAACTTCCCAAACCTTTACTAGACCCTTTTTAGCACTGCCAACTCCCTGGACTTAACTAAACTCTTTTTCCTTTGGATTTTCCCAACTTTTACCACTTTTCTGGTTTTTACACCCAACTCGATCGAGCTCGAGTTGGCACCCCCAAACTTAGCCTGAAAACAATCCCAAGAGAACTAGACAACTAGAACTACTGCCCCTGCCGGTTTAAACACAACACCTTATGCTAAGCAAAGCCAAGAAAGGTTCTCACAATCGCACAAGAGATAATAAGGGGTTTGAAATGAAAAGGCTTAGGTTTAAGGTGTGGTAACTGTCTCAAAGATGAGATCAGCTATCTGGACAAGCAAGAGGGATATGAAAATGGTAAAGAATGTCCAGATATGTATGTGGTAGCCATGAGTTGAAATCAAATGCAAGCATTGGTAATTAAAGATCAAGTTATGGTTCAAATAGATAGGGAAATGCATCAAATCACAGCAATGGTTGAATGAGATGTGCATGCAGTGATATGATCAAGATAAACATGGTTCTTGCTGCTCAATCAATCTCACCCTAATGCACAAGAGAATCTAAAAACAGGGCACTCAAGAAATCGCAAATGATGAACAAGTTTTCAAAGTCAAATCAACAATGCAAGTGAAAGATGCAATCCTAAACAATACTAAGAAATATGAATGCAAAAAGATGAAAATATTTTTGGATTTTTTGAAAATTTTATGATTTTTTTGGTTTTTCTATGCAAAAGAGAATGAAAAACTAAGAACAAAGAAAACAAGGTTAAATCATCTCTTGAACCCTCCCCCAAACTTAAATCACACAGTCCCTTGTGTGAGAGAAATTTAGTGAAAGATTCAAGAGGCAAAAACCAAGAAAAATAAAGCAAAGAAAAATGAAATGGTATGTACAAGGGTTGTGTTTGATACCTCAGTGCCCCCCAAAGAACTGGGAGGCAAGGTCGTGGTCTGGAGAGGGCAGACGGCCATCAGGGGCACTCCACTCGACTGGGTTCACCTCGCTCGATCGAGCTTGCGGCTCCTCTTCTTCCTCTTCTTCATCGAAGTGTGTGTGGCTCCCTTGGCCTTGGAGGAGCTGTGCTTGCTCGAAGCGGTTGTAGGGTCCAGTGGCTCTGAGAGAAGTCTTGGTAGGGCGTTGGATCGTACTCGAATCCGGGTTCTCAAACAGGGGCTCCTCCAGGTCAACTCGACCCTCAGCTCGATCGAGTTGAGTTTCCTCTGTTTGGACTCGATCAAGTCCGGTGGTCGAGTTGGAGCGTCTGGCCTTAGAGCTCTTCCTCCTTCTCTGCGAGTTGTCTTCTCCCTTCCCTTGGCTCGAATGAAGAGGCTCTGTGAGGCTCTTGGGCAGGGAGCCTCCTTGGGTGGTGAGGAGTGATCTACTCCTAGGGAAAGTGGGGCCATGGGTGCCTTCTTCTTCTTGCTTGAAGAACCAGAAACCTTCTTCTCCAAACTCTTGATCTTGCTCACCATCTTGTCCATGGACTTTTGCATCTTTTCAATGGCCTTTCCTTGCCATTTGTTGAACTTTTGGAGAAGTCCAATCCTCTTGTGGGCAGCCACAACAGAGGGGTTCATCCTTGGAGCCTCATACTCCTCAAAATAATAGCACTCAGGCTCACCCAAATCCGCACTCTCCTGGACTCGATCTTCAGCTTGAGACTCAGCTCGATCCTCAACTCGATCGAGCTCAGGCTCCTCTTCTCGCAAATCATCCTCATGCCCAACTAGTGTATACAAAGGGGGTCTGAAATCGATGTTCTCATCCCTGACTACTGTGGTGAGCTCTGGGTTAGGCAGGAGAAGCTTGGAAAGTCCAGTCAATGGATGTGTGAACTTGAATTGGAACTTCCCATCCAATTCCTTGTGTTCAATGAGGAGGTTGGTCTTGCAGAACTTGATGTCCATCCATCCTGCTGGAGTAGACCTTCTCTTGTCCAAATGGACTCCAGCTGCACAAAGGATTGGTGTGATCACCCTCCAACACTAAGCTTTCTTCCCGTTTGGAACCTAGTGTTGTAGGCCGTGACCTTGTAGGCGAGTAGCTGCTCAAGGAGAGGCATGAGGTTTCCTGCATGTGCCCTATCTCCTCTGATCTTCTTCCCATCCCTTGTGCGTGAGATGATAGGCTTGATTCCCATGTCAAGGAGCTTCACTTCTCCTTCATTGATTGTCCAGTGGCTTTCCTTGCAAAGAAGGTGTTTGCAAGAGCCTTGTGGACATATCTCAGCACAGGACTTCTGATCTGGGCAGCCTTAGACCTTGAGGAAGAGTACCCCTCTTCAGCGATTGTAGCCCATACTCTTTGGAGTTCATCTTCCTTGATGTTCCATAGGTTTCCTTCTCCATAGTGAACCCAAACAGTATCTCAAGCTGCCTAAAGGTGACCATCTTCCTTTCTCCTTTGCCAAGAACGTAATCCATCCCCAGCCTTGGTCCAACTCAGCTCGATCGAGCTCATATACTCGTGACCTCATCGACGCCAAAAACTCACAAGTGAGCTCCTTGTAGACTCCATGCGGTGAGAGAAGAACTTTGCCAATTGCATGTTCTTGAGCACCAACTCCACATCCTCAAAGATCCCAAGGTCTCTCATGGTGTCATCATGTGGGTACTTGGTCTCCACAAAGTCCATGGAGAAGAGAGCATTGTAGTGCTCTTGGTACATGGGGAGCTCATCCTCTTCCTCTGTTCAGCCTCCTCCATTGGCTTCTCTTGGCTCTCATGCACACTTCCATCAACTCTTGATTCACCTCTTCTCCTTCCTCTTCACTCTCAGTCTCATCACTTCCTTCTTCACTTGGAGAGCCATACCCTCCTCTTGAACAAGGTTCACTCCAATCTCAAACTCCCTTGTTCACTTTCACTACTAATGGGGTCATTCCTCTTCTTGGTTCTCCTTTCCTCCCTCAATCTCTCGTTCTCAGACTGCTCCTCAGAGTAGACATGTTCCCTGCATCAGACTTCTATCTGCTCTTTCTCTTCTTCCCTCAATATCACATACTCCAGCCCTTCATCTATGGACATCCTTCTCTCTCATTCTTCTTGCTTTCTCTGCCCTTTGCTTTCTTCCCATAGCTGCTTGGCTTCCCTCACCTCTCAACATCTTGAACTTGTTGCTTCTTGAAGTTGAGTTCCTGAAATGCATCAAAAACTCAAGGAATTAGAGTTGTAATCGTTGGTTCGGCCAACTCGACACTCAACTCGATCGAGTCAAAAAACTCGAGTGACAAACTCGATCGAGTTAGAAAACAGAGTATAACCGAACCTAATATCAAACAATAAAAGCTGGAAAAGATGCTTAATAATCAAATTGAACCAAGAACAACTAAGTAAATGGAACAATGAGCAATTCTAGTGAAAACCAAAGCATCTTAACCAATACCAAACTCAAATTCAAGGTTTTAAGCACATGCAACAAGTTTAATGGAAAAACAGAGGTGAGGTGAGGCAAATTCACAAGACTATAAACAGAGATTGATATGAAAGCAATTTCAAGAACAAAGTCCACAAGGGGCACATGCAATCAAAATCAAAGAGAAAACAAGCAATAGAGAATCGAGATGAAGGAATCAAGGGTTTTAGGGTTCATACCTTGCTTGAATGATGGAAGAATCACAGTGAACTAGAAACTTAAAGCAAAGAAGATGATGAACAATGAAAATCGAAAAACTTAAAAGAGAAAGAGGGGAATTTTCGGATTTCTAGGGTGAAGAGAGAGAGGATGATTTCAGAATTTTTAAGTGTGGAGAGAGAGTGGGTTCGATCGAGTTATGGGGAAAAGGGAGTGTTTGAGATGTGTGGTTGAGATTAAAAGGTGTATTGAAGAGGGGACAAAAGCTAGGGGTTTTGCTGATCGAAGTAGGGTAGTAGGGAACCAAAATTTTACTTGTGGGACCCACCCCTTTGACCAAGGAAACGGTTAGAAATTCGAATTTTTAAAACTTACCTTGGTCGAGTTGAGGAACTCGATCGAGTTACCCTCGTTTCTGGCTCGATCGAGCTGTCGGTCGAGCTGGCTCCTTTGTCACCTAAACTTAACTCATTGAAAGGTTAAAGACACGAAAATAGATAGAAATTGCATAAATAGAATATGTACAAGGATAAACATGGGACTTCCTCCCAAGTGAGCTTGTTTAAGGTCCCATAGCTTGACCTTTACCTCCTTAGGCATTGCTTGAGCTAGTCCCACAGTAAGATCAGTTTGGATGATGCATTCTCCAATTTTCAAGTGATAGTTCTTGAACACTCCAAGAGGAGACTTAGAAGTTGCATCTCCAAACATGATTGAAGTAGTAGGGCGCTGCAAGGCTCCAGCAATGCCTAGCTTCTCTGCCATGAGAGAGAGATCAGATTGATGCTTGCTCCAGAATCCACCAAGGCATTGTCAAGCTCAAGATGCCCAAGTGTGCAAGGGAGAGTGAATTTCCCTTGATCCTTGACCTTTGGTAGGAAAGTGGGTGAAGTAAGCAGGTTGAACTGATGAGTAGACTCCTTCAGGACCTCTGAAACTTTATCACTGTTGGCTAGAACATCCTTGACCATTTGCATTTGATCAAATGCCTCACTCATGCTATCCATAGGAGGCAACTCAATTCCAATCCCACTGAGATCTCTTCTGAACTTGTGAATCACTTCCTTGTGCCCTTGACTAAGTAGGCGAGGCGAGGGAGTGTCAACCGGTTGGTAAGGATCAAGCAAAATGGCTTTGGTACAGATGAGGTCGGACTCGATCGAGCTTGATGTCGACTCGATCGAGCTGCCGATCGAGCTTGTTGTGCGAGCTCAACTGGTGAAGTGTGAAGGGCCACAGTAGGTGCCTGCACTTCTGGTTGATCAATCTGGACTCCAGGAGCCTCAGCAGCAACAATCTCATCATCATTCAGCAGTAAACAAAAATCTTCAATGACCCTTCTCTTGATCCTCTTCTTCAACAAGTCCTCTTGAGTGAAGATGACCTTGCACTGTTCCTTGGGGTTCTGAATAGCTTTACCAGGTAGTTGTCCTTGCTTTGTAGCAGCAGCAACAGAAGAAGCATGATTCTCCAGAGAGTAAACCCTTGTGTTGAGGTTCTCGATCTTAGAGTTTATTTCAGCTAGCTTCTTGCTTGTGTCCACTACCCCATCAGCTTGCCCTTGAAGTAGTTGCTTTAGCATTGCCTTGAGCTCATTCTCTTGTGAAGGTGCAGGCTGGGGCGGTTGGTGGGGAAAGCCTGGTGGGATATTCATTTGTTGTCCAGGGAAAGTGCCTTGTGGTCCTTGGTAATTGTTCTTTTGACCATACCCATGTTGTGGCACCTGACTCGATCGAGCTGCTTGTTGTTGAGGATATACTTGGTCCTGAGGGTTAGCAACATCAGTGTTGCGGTATGACATGGCAGGGTTGGACTTGTAATTATAGTATCCTTTGTTGTAACCTCCTTGCCCATTGCTCATGTAGCACACCTCAGCAAATTGTGTATCCTCCCCTTCTTGGACTGGTTCCATCTCCTCAGCAGACACAAAGTTGACTTTCTTCATTGTGGACTGAGCTAGGATCAGCTTATCCAACTTCTCATTCAATGCCTTAACATCTTTTCTCAACTTTTCGTCTGACTCGATCGAGTGGTGGGTCGAGCTCCGATTGGTGCGATCATACTCTTCTCCATAGCTTCCATTTGAGTTAGCTATGTTCTCCACAAGTTGCCAGCCATCATCTACATCCTGGTTGAGGAAGTTCCCATTGCTAGCTGTGTCTAGCATCTCCCTATACCTAGGCAAGCATCCTCTATAAAGAGTGGAGAGTAGTGATTCATTGTTGAATCCATGGTGTGGGCACTGACTTGTGTACCCTTTGAACCTCTCCCAAGCCTCTGCGAATGTCTCATTGTTTCGCTGGATGAAGCTGGATATCTCTCCTCTAAGCTTGGCTGTGCGACCGGTGGAGAAAAACTTAGCAAGAAAGGCCTTCTTGCATTCATCCCAAGTGGTGATTGTGCCATGGGGCAAGCTCTTCTCCCATTGGTGAGCTTTGTCAGCTAGAGACATAGGAAAGAGTCTCAGCTTGATGGCATCTTCAGAGACACCATTGATCTTTGTCAAATCACAAAGCCTATCAAACTAATCCATCCAACCCCTTAGACCTCTATTTTCTAGAGCAAGAGTTATTGGAGCTCTTAGTGGATCTTTTCCAGTAATTGCCATCACTTTCGTGTGGGGAATCGCCTAAGGACTTACAAGCCAGGGGTAGTGGTCATGTAGCCTTAAGATCTATCCAAAAGAGAGAGAATCTAGATTAAGACCATAAGCTAGAAGGATTAAGCATATGAAACCTCTAATCTATCCCATCTCAAACCCCAATGGGTAACTACTCACTACACATGAATGTAAACACAAGCAAATGCAATAAAAGAGACATCATAAGAAAGAGGAGATGAAATTAAACAACTTTTATTGAAATAAGCAAGTGCAAATACAAAGCAAATAATCCAGGATCTAAGATTCAAGAAGCAAGAGCTTCAAGAACACAAAGATTGGATTAGGGTTGCTAAAAGGTAAAGACAATAAATTAAAGAAAAGCTAAAACAAAAATAAAGTAAAGCTTGGTGGTTTTTTTCGTGGCTTTTAGCCCTTAAATACAAAGAGGATTAGGTTTAGGGTCAAAGGAAAGTCAAGGGGGAAGCAACATTTTTCGGGTTTGACTATTGACTTCTCAGCTCGATCAAGTTGAAGCTTGGCCGGTCGAGTTGAGGAACTCGACCGGTTGGTCGAGTAGACGGTCGAGCTGGTCTTCAAGATGGCTTCTCCCTTCTTCCTTTGCGTATCCAGTTGAGCTGCGTCCATGTGCCAAGTCCCTCCATGCTCCTCTTCGTCCCATATGCTCCAGAATGCTCCAAAAGACCTATTTCAAAGGACCAAACATGCATATGTATGCAAATGCAACCTAAAACTAACATGAATGCATAAGAAGAGAAAAGGAACAAGATATGATGCAAATGGAAGCTAAAACTATGCAAAAGATGCATAGAAGATGTGCTAAAACTATGTAAAATGCAAGTACATCAGCTTCTTCTTGTGATGGCATTGCAATAAAAGGGAGAGTGGTTGGGTGTTGGACTCCTCTCTCTCTTGTAATTGGCATGAGATGATCCTTCAAGGGCTTGTAGGCGGTTGTAGATCGAACCAAGATGTTTGCTATTGCCATAGCTAGTATCTTCAATTCTCATGCTCTTGTTTATCAACTCTTGATATTTCGAAGCAACATCAAGCTTAACTAGGGTCAAAGATCGATCATGATCCTCTCTCAACTTCTTAATGTCTTCATCAAGCTTGATCACTTGCTTGAATAGGACTTCAGATTTGTTTCCAAGGCTCTCATGGATGAAATCGATTCTCTCCTCCATCTTTTGTACTCTCATCTTGATTCTCAAGTATTCTTGAAGCATCTCTTCAATCTTGGTTGGCGCGCAGCTTGATACTCTCCTTGGGGAAAAGTGTCTGATTTATGTCTGGTGATGATGGATGGTGTTGTGAATAGCTGGGGCGTGGTGGTGGAACATAAATCGGACCTTTATCAAATCTGTAAAGGAAAGCTTCCTTTGTATCCTTCCAAGTCTTGAAGGCATGTTGGGCATTGAAGTTCACCCATTCTTTGGCTTGTCCAGCTAGTGATAGTTGGAAATTGTATCTTCTTGGGGTTGTCTCCAAGACCATAGTAGTGGCAAAGCTGCTCAAAGTTGTATAGATGCTTCTTTGCACACTCTGAAGTAGAATTGTAGAAAGGATTCCTCTCCACATGCTTGATTAGCTCTTCATTCAAACTTCAGGATGGGGTGTATGCCTCCCCATTCTTCTTCATCACCTCCTTCCAGTGATGAGAGTAGTGGATTGTACTTGGATTTGAAAGGTGGCCTCGCAAATCTCTTCAAGAAAGCATCTCTAAAATCGATCCATGACTCGATTCTAGAGGTGGTTCATGCTGCGCCCAATCTAGTGCTGGTCCAGCTAGTGATCACAAAGTCAAAAACTCCATAAGAATCACAAAGATTCTCAAAGTGATCTATATGCTCCAGCGCATACTCTGAAAATAGATCATGGAATTGATCTCTCTTCACGAACTCGATCAGTTCAGGGTCAATCTCCTCTTCTGGTGTGGCTAGAAGGTTCTTCTTGTGTGATGCGGCTTGGCTAGACGTCTCCAGGTCGGCTGCTTCAAGGTAGGGAAGAAGTTTCTTCTTGTCTTCAAGGGATAGTCTTGGAGGACTATCCCAAGAAGGTGGTGGTGCTTGAGGGCTTGACATCTCTTGTTCGTCCAAGAGGTCTCTTTGAGGTGGTATTGGCGAAGTGGGATCGCCTTTATAGGGGAGAGGACTTGTGAATCCTTCTCCATATCTAACTAGGAAAACCTGAAAAGCTCAAAAACAAAAAGGAAAAACAAATCAAAGAAAAAAGGAAAAATAACAAAAACTAAAAAGGAAAAGAAAGAACCCTAGACTAGCTCTCTTGCAAGAGCTTGTAGGTGCGAATTGGTCCCCGGCAACGGCGCCAAAAACTTGATCGCGGGATCAGGTCTTCCCCTTTCCTATCCCTGATTCTGCAAGTGCACAGGTCAGAAGTAGTAAACGGGTATCGAACACGAGGACCAGATTGCACACTACAAGTTATGAGTTTGAGAACAAGCTAGGGCAAAAGTATAAGTTGGTTGAGTGCAGAGAAAGTAAAGCATGCAAGTAATTAAAAGTGAGATTCAATAGGAGAGAAAGGCTAAGCAATAGGATAGTCTTGAGATAAGCAATTCAAGAAGCATGAAATCAATCAATTAGGGTTACCGCACTTAGGTGCTAATCTAGAACTTGAAACACTATGGTATGATCATTCCACTGTCGAGGCTCCGACCCCTTTGTTAATCTACCTAGTCGCTAAACTTTTGGTATGTCCCTAGGTGATTAAATCAAGCATTAGTTCGATCAAGATCAATTGTTCACAACCTACAAGTAGATCAACTTTCGCAGTCTAAAAGAGATTGCCCACCAAATACTAGTTCAGGCGAATGATACAGCACTGTCGAGGCTCAAATCAACCTAAAGGCATATGCTAATTGGCCAGATTAACAACAAGCATTAAGTATAAGCAAAGATGGAGATTATAAGTAAAACCCTAATTGTGATCAATCATCAAGCATCATGAATGCTATCCTTTGACTTCCTATCACTTAACAAGTAAACTACTCAGACATAGAGAAGGAACACGAATTCATATTCATAAGAACAGAGATTCGAATCCTCTCTAGAAAGAGTAACAAGCAAGAACAAAGTAAAAGCAAGCAAAACTTTATTAAGATGTAAAATAGATTGTGGTCTCTCTCCTTCTTGAGTTACAAGGCTAAAAAGAAGTATTTATAATGCACTAAGTATGAAAAGCGGCTAGACCTAATCTTGCTAGGTCGGCGCCGGCTTTGGGCTTGAATTGTGCGGATTGGGCTTCAAAAACGGCTTCGGGTCGACCGCGGCGTTCGGACGGTCGGGACGGTCGGCCGGACAGTCGGGTCTTGGCCGAGTCGGAACGGTCGTGGCCGGATGTTTCATGGTCGGCCGGCGTGGTCGGGCGGATAGGAATTGGCCGATGGTTTCTCGGCCGGACGTGGGACGTTCTTTCCCGGCTCGGACGGATGCATCGGCCGTGGTACGCGAGTGATTGTGCGGCCGCGAGGCTTGTTTCCCGGCTCGCGCGCTTTGGTCGTGCGCGGCGTGGCGTGAGTGGCTTGGCCGACCGCGGGACTTGTTTCCCGGGTCGTGATGCGTGATCGGCCGGTGGTTTGGAACTTTGGCCGAGACTTCAGTCGGACGGATATACTTTGGCCGAGCGCGGAACATTCGTTCCTCGGCCAGCCGGACTGCGCGTTCGGCGCTGATTCTCGATATAGCCGTCTGGAGCAGCCTTCACTCTTTTGGCTATAACTCCTTTTCTACTCATCCAAATGAGGCCGTTCCACTTGCGTTGGAAAGTTAACTCAATCAGAGCACGCAGGGAACTGGTCTTGATGAAATCCATTGAGTAGATCTTTTTCTAGCTCCATCCAAAGTTGATGCAGGGGCATTGAACTGGTTTAGAGTCCAAATCTCCTGTTTTGCTCCATAATGCACCTTTTTACCTAAAATGACTCTTTGCACTATAAATCCATAAAAACTACCTTTTAACACAAGAATCCACTAGAAAACCATTAGAAAACCATAGTAAAATAGCATAAAATCGATTGGTCTAAGAGATGCTCCAAACCGCCACCAACAGAGACAAGGGATTGTTCCACCACCAGTGCAGAACCACAACTTTGAGATCAAGCTGGGAATGATCAACCTTGTTCAGAACAAGATGTTCCATGGATTGCCAAGTGAAGACTCCATTGACCATCTTGATGAGTTTGATAGGCTATGTGATTTGACAAAGATCAATGGTGTCTCTGAAGATGCCATCAAGCTGAGACTCTTTCCTATGTCTCTAGCTGACAAAGTTCACCAATGGGAGAAGAGCTTGCCCCATGGCACAATCACCACTTGGAATGAATGCAAGAAGGCCTTTCTTGCTAAATTTTTCTCCACCAGTCGCACAGCCAAGCTAAGGAGTGAGATCTCGAGTTTCATACAAAGGAACAATGAGACTTTTGGAGAAGCTTGGGAGCGATTGAAGGGATACATGAGCCAATGGCCTCACCATGGATTCAGCCATGAATCATTACTATCCATACTCTATAGAGGATGTTTGAAAAGGCAAAGGGAGATGCTAGACACAACCAGCAATGGGAACTTCCTCAATCAAGATGTGGAAGATGGCTGGGAGCTAGTGGAAAACATCGCCCTCTCAACAGAAAGATATGGAGACAATTATGATAGCACTGATCGAGTCCGAACCTCAGATGCGAAAAGACTTGCAGGCTCTCCATTCGAAGATTGACAAGCTGATTGTAGCTCAATTTCCTCCCAAAGAAGTCAGCTCTATCTCTGATACAACTCAGGCTATCAAACAGGAAGGGGAGGAGAAACACCATACAAGCACCACTCCAACCACAAGGAAGACCATCTATGGTCACACATTCTACCAGGCACTTGTGGCTTACCAAATGACTCCACACAGATCCAACCAGCAAGGGCACCTTCCAAGTTTCCCACCAGGATTCCCACCAATGCCATACCCAACTACACAGAACCAAGATTGGGATATGAAGGATATGCTCCAACAACTCCTTCAAGGGCAAGCCAAAGGTTCACTAGACATGAACCACAAGTTGCTAGAAATAAACTCAAAACTGGAGTCATTGACTTCAAGAGTGCAAACCATTGAGTCTTCTACTGTGTCATCCTCTTCATCTCACGAGTATGCTCAGGCTGTTACACTGAGAAGTTGGCGACAATTTCCAAGCAGGGCTAGCCCACCCCAAATCTCTGTGGACATCGATGACGAGGAAGGGGAGGATTTGGTCGAGTATGACCATATTCCGGCACCGAACTCGATCGAGCTGGAACAAAACCCTGAACCCGAACTCGATCGAGCTGAAGAAACCGAGACTCAGAAAGACAAACCAGAACTCGATCGAGCTGAGAAGAGAACAGACAAAGCAAGCTCCAGCCAACCAGTTAAACCTGTTGCAAGGAAGAAAGATACTCCAGCACGACCATGATGATAGGATTTGTGTGTGGATGTGAAAAGATATGAAATGAGATGGTGGAATGCAACAGTGGTATATGATGAGGTGGTAAGATGCAAACACAAACACAGTCAACAATTCCCTTTAACCATATATTGATGTAGTACAAAGGGTTATCAATCCAAAATGGGAAACTTGTCACTCTTTGAGAATATGAAACAACCAGGAAGTCAAGCAAGCAGTTAATAGATTTGAAGTAACACTAACAACCTAAATAAAATGAAAAGCAGTGCAATAAAAGTAAACAAAGCAGTGAAGTGCAGCTCGACCAAGACTCGAGTCGAGTCAGACAAAGTACCAGCTCGATCGAGTTTAGGGACGAGTTGAGACAAACAAAGCTAAAGGTGACGACTTTAACAAGATAAGAGAGAATTAGGGTTCAAGACAGGGTTTTGCAATCAAAGGAATCTACACTTAATCAATCTAGCTCTTAAAACTCCTTGTATCAAGGCTTCTCTTGATATTGGGCTTCTCAATGCCTAGCCAACCCTTTCCCAAGGTGGAGGCTATCAACCAAGGAATGATCTCAGAAACAGGGGGTTAGCCAGTGAGAATCAAACCTTGGAGGCTATAGGATCATTGCCCAAACTAATCCATCCAACCCCTTAGACCTCTATTGTCTAGAGCAAGAGATATTGGAGCTCTTAGTGGATCTTTTCCAGCGAATGCCATCACTTTCGTGTGGGGAGTCGCCTAAGGACTTACAAGCCAGGGGTAGTGGTCATGTAGCCTTAAGATCTATCCAAAAGAGAGAGAATCTAGATTAAGACCATAAGCTAGAAGGATTAAGCATATGAAACCTCTAATCTATCCCATCTCAAACCCCAATGGGTAACTACTCACTACACATGAATGTAAACACAAGCAAATGCAATAAAAGAGACATCATAAGAAAGAGGAGATGAAATTAAACAACTTTTATTGAAATAAGCAAGTGCAAATACAAAGAGAGATTATCCAGGATCTAGGATTCAAGAAGCAAGAGCTTCAAGAACACAAAGATGGATTAGATCTCTAAAAAGTAAAAGACAATAAATTAAAAGAAACTAAAACAAAATAATCTAAAGCTTGGTGGTTTTTTCGTGGCTTAGAGCCTTTAAATACAAGAGGTTTTAGGTTTAGGGTCAAAGGAAAGTCAAGGGGGAAGCAACATTTTTCGGGTTTGACTGTTGACTTCTCAGCTCGATCGAGTTGAAGCTTGGCCGGTCGAGTTGAGGAACTCGACCGGTTGGTCGAGTAGACGGTCGAGCTGGTCTTCAAGATGGCTTCTCCCTTCTTCCTTTGCGTATCCAGTTGAGCTGCTTCCATGTGCCAAGTCCCTCCATGCTCCTCATGTCCCATATGCTCCAGAATGCTCCAAAAGACCTATTTCAAAGGACCAAACATGCATATGTATGCAAATGCAACCTAAAACTAACATGAATGCATAAGAAGAGAAAAGGAACAAGATATGATGCAAATGGAAGCTAAAACTATGCAAAAGATGCATAAAAGATGTGCTAAAACTATGTAAAATGCAAGTACATCAACACCCCCAAGACTGGGCTCCTGATCTGAGCTGCCTTGGACCTTGAGGAAGAGTACACTCCATCAGCGATTGTAGCCCAAACCTTTGGAGTTCCTTTTCCTTGAAGTTCCACTTGGTACCCTCTCCATAGTTGAACCCAAACAAGATTTCCAAGCTGCCTAAAGGTCACCATTCTCTTCTCTCCCTTAGCCAAGAACGTGATCCATCCCAATCCTTGGTCCAAATCAGCTCTATCTTCCTCATCATACATGTGGTACCTCATTGAAGCAAAAACTCGCAAGTGAGCTCCTTGTAGGATTCCATGTGAGAGAAAACTTGGCCAAGTGCATGTTCTTGAGACCAACTCCACATCCTCAAAGATTCCAAGGGCCTTCATTGTGTCAACATGTGGGTACTTGGTCTCCATGAAGTCCATGGAGAAGAGAGCATTGTAGTGCTCTTGGTACATAGGGAGCTCATCCTCCTCTTGCTCTGTGGCTCAACTCCTCCATGGCTCATCTTGGTTCCCCTCTTGATCATCTTCATCAACCAATTGGTTCACCTCTTCTCCTTCCTCTTCACTCTCAGTCTCATCACTCCTTCTTCATTTGGAGAACCATTTCCCTCCTCTTGAACAAGGTTCACTCCAATCTCAAACTCCCCTTGCTCACTCTCACTACTAATAGGGTCATTCCTCTTCTTGGTTCTCCTTTCTCCCTCAATCTCTCACTCTCAGACTTCCTCAGAGTAGACATATCCCTCTGCATCAGATTCTTCCATCCTCTGATCCATCCTCTTCAAATCGGCTTGCATCTTAAGCCTTCTTTCCCTTGCATTGCTTGATTCACCCTCAACCATTCTCCTCTGTGAAGCGCGACTTCCCTCACTGTTTGTCATCCTTGTTACTCTGTTTCTTCACTAAAGTACCTGAAATGCATCAAAGATTACAAAGAATTAGAGTTGTAATGATCGGTTTGGTCAACTCGACACTCAGCTCGATCGAGTCAAAAAACTCGAGTGACAAACTCGATCGAGTTGGGTGAAAACAGAGTATAACCAAACCTAATTCAAGATTAAGAGCTGGAAAGGATGCTAATCAATCAAATTGAACCAAGAACAACTAGTAAATGGAACAATGAGCAATTCTAGAGAAGCACTAAGCATCTTAACCAATACCAAACTCAAATTCAATTTTCAAGCACATGCAACAAGTTTAAAGGCAAAACAGAGGTGAGGTGACAAACTAACAAGATTATATAGCAGAGGCGAAATATGAGGGCAATTACTCAAGAACAAGTCCACAAGGGACACATGCAATCAAAAATCAAAGAGAAAACAAGCAATAGTTGAAATCGAGATGGATGAATCAAGGGTTTAGGGTTCATACCTTGCTTGAATGATGAATTGAAGACAGTAACTAGAACCCAAGCAAAACAAGATGAAGAACAAGGAAATCGCAAAAACTTAGAGAGAGATTGAAAATCGATTTTTCTTGTGGTGAAGAGAGAGAGAGATGATTTCAGAAATTTTAAGTGTGGGAGAGTGGAGAAGGTGGATTCGATCGAGTTATGGGGAAGAGGGGTGTTTGAGATGTGTGGTTGAGATTAAAAGATGAAATAAAGAGGGAACAAGAAGCTAGGGATTCTCTGATCAAATTAGGGTAGTGGGGGACCAAAATCAGCTTGTGGGACCCACTCCCTTGACCAAGAAAACGGTTATGAATTTGAAATTCAAAAACTTACCTCGGTCGAGTTGTGTAGCTCGATCGAGTTGCCCTGGTTTCTAGCTCGATCGAGCTGTCGGTCGAGCTGGCTCCTTTGACACCTAAACTTAACTTATTCAAAGGTTAAAACATAAAGATAGATAGAAATTGCATAAATAGAGTATGTACAAGGATAAACATGGGACTTCCTCCCAAGTGAGCTTGTTTAAGGTCCCATAGCTTGACCTTTACCTTCTTAGGCATTGGTTGAGCTAGTCCCACCATCAAGGGTGATAGTGAGGACTTGAGACAGAAGCTCCTTTAGCTTGGTTGGGTCCCTGGACTGTTCTGAAGTCACCAAGGCCTTGGCTCTAGAGAATGGCCTTGATCTCCCCTTGTACCTTATCTTGTACTCAATCTTCCCATTTTCAAACTTGGTGGGGAACAAAGTCATTGTGAGCTGAGATGGCTTGATGAAGGGGCCTGAGCTGGTGGATCCTTTCTTTTATCACCTGGTCTTGCCTTAGAGGCTACATCCTCCCCTTCTTTTAGAGCCCTTCCTAGTGGCTCATCAAACAAAGCTTGAAGGCTCTCTTCATCAAGCACACAAGGGGCTTGAACAAGTCTATCAGCTCGTGGCCTATCAGATCGTGGTTTCTCAACTCTAGCCCTCTCAAGACGTGGCTTCTCAATCCTTGGTCCTCTCTCATCCTTATCCTTCCCAACTCTTGGTTCCTTGTCAACCCTTTCCTTCACAACCTTTGTAGCTCCATGACTCTTAGAACTGAGAGTGGTACTGTCAATTGTGGCACAAAAGTCTGAACCTCTAGGCTGCAAGCGATATGACACCAAACTATTCACCTTGTGAAGGATCACTTCTTGCTTGTGAAAGTCTATTGAAGCGCCAACTGTACTAAGGAAAGGGGTTCCCAATAACAGAGGTAAATCCTTCTCTTCTTCCATTTCCATCACAGTGAGATCAGTTTGGATGATGCATTCTCCAATTTTCAAGTGATAGTTCTTGAACACTCCAAGAGGAGACTTAGAAGTTGCATCTCCAAACATGATTGAAGTAGTAGGGCGCTGCAAGGCTCCAGCAATGCCTAGCTTCTCTGCCATGGAGAGAGAGATCAGATTGATGCTTGCTCCAGAATCCACTAAGGCATTGTCAATCTCAAGATGCCCAAGTGTGCAAGGGAGAGTGAATTTCCCTTGATCCTTGACCTTTGGTAGGAAGGTGGGTGAAGTAAGCAGGTTGAACTGATGAGTAGACTCTTGTAGGACCTCTGAAACTTTATCACTGTTGGCTAGAACATCCTTGACCATTTGCATTTGATCAAATGCCTCACTCATGCTATCCATAGGAGGCAACTCAATTCCAATCCCACTGAGATCTCTTCTGAACTTGTGAATCACTTCCTTGTGACCTTGACTAAGTAGGCGAGACGAGGAAGCGGCAACCGGTTGGATAAGGATCAAGCAAAACAGGCTGTCGGACAGAAGAGGTCGGACTCGATCGAGCTAGAGTTGGACTCGATCGAGCTGCCGATCGAGCTTGTCGTGCGAGCTCAACTGGTGAAGTGTGAATGGCCACAGTAGGTGCATGCACTTCTGGTTGATCAATCTGGACTCCAGGAGCCTCAGCAGCAACAATCTCTTCATCATTCAGCAGTAAACAAAAATCTTCAATGACCCTTTCTTGATCCTCTTCTTCAACAAGTCCTTCTTGAGTGAAGATGACCTTGCACTGTTCCTTGGGGTTCTGAATAGCTTTACCAGGTAGTTGTCCTTGCTTTGTAGCAGCAGCAACAGAAGAAGCATGATTCTCCAGAGAGTAAACCCTTGTGTTGAGGTTCTCGATCTTAGAGTTTATTTCAGCTAGCTTCTTGCTTGTGTCCACTACCCCATCAGCTTGCCCTTGAAGTAGTTGCTTTAGCATTGCCTTGAGCTCATTCTCTTGTGAAGGTGCAGGCTGGGGCGGTTGGTGGGGGAAGCCTGGTGGGATATTCATTTGTTGTCCAGGGAAAGTGCCTTGTGGTCCTTGGTAATTGTTCTTTTGACCATACCCATGTTGTGGCACCTGACTCGATCGAGCTGCTTGTTGTTGAGGATATACTTGGTCCTGAGGGTTAGCAACATCAGTGTTGCGGTATGACATGGCAGGGTTGGACTTGTAATTATAGTATCCTTTGTTGTAACCTCCTTGCCCATTGCTCATGTAGCACACCTCAGCGAATTGTGTATCCTCCCCTTCTTGGACTGGTTCCATCTCCTCAGCAGACACAAAGTTGACTTTCTTCATTGTGGACTGAGCTAGGATCAGCTTATCCAACTTCTCATTCAATGCCTTAACATCTTTTCTCAACTTTTCGTCTGACTCGATCGAGTGGTGGGTCGAGCTCCGGTTGGTGCGATCATACTCTTCTCCATAGCTTCCATTTGAGTTAGCTATGTTCTCCACAAGTTGCCAGCCATCATCTACATCCTGGTTGAGGAAGTTCCCATTGCTAGCTGTGTCTAGCATCTCCCTATACCTAGGCAAGCATCCTCTATAAAGAGTGGAGAGTAGTGATTCATTGTTGAATCCATGGTGTGGGCACTGACTTGTGTAGCCTTTGAACCTCTCCCAAGCCTCTGCGAATGTCTCATTGTTTCGCTGGATGAAGCTGGATATCTCTCCTCTAAGCTTGGCTGTGCGACCGGTGGAGAAA